GGCAGCAGGAGAGAGTCGTGACGAGACCGAGACCGAGACCGAGAGTACTGCAGCGGCGGGACAGCATTACGGATACGCCGCGTGCGCCAACAATGAGCCATGTAAACAGCAGTGTGGCTGCAGATGCAGATGGAAAGGATTCTTCATGGGTAGATGGAGCAGGCGGTGTGGCAGAGTGGCAGGAAGCCAACAAAATATCATAATCATAATCAAAATGGCATTAACAACAGCGCTGCAACACAGCAACAAAGGCAACAAAAGGCAATGCAAATACGACCATAAAAGCGACAACAGACGCCACGGAACAAAGTGTAACCAAAAATGCCATAATGAAATGCGAAACAAAAAAGGAAACGGCAAACAAAAATATAGTTTACACAAAGTATAGCCGAAACTTTCGATACCCTTGCCGCTCGATCGTTGCCATGGGCAGCCGCAATATTGATAATAATTGCGCAGTAAAAAAAGTGGATAGACATAAGTATCTATTCGGCTTTTTCTGTTGATGGAGGAGACATGTGCTTCATAGCGTTAAATATATCATAATAGCCCTGCTGTCAGGGTATAAAAAAACCAACCAAAAATGATAAAAACAACTCAGACACTCGACAACGAGAACACAGCAGCAGCAACCAAATACGAGTAGTTGTTCCTGTTGTTGTGCATAATGCAGTTTCAATTTCAATTGTTGTCGCCGCGCACAAGGACCCGGGACAGTGCGACGGCTCCTTGGGGGCCCCAAGCCAAGCCCCAGCCCAAACAGAATCATCATACCCATCATCATCATCATCAGCAGGGCAGCCAAATTATGCTAATTAGATTAAAGCATAATTTCATGCAACTTTCCCAGTCGCAGTCGCAGTTCCACTTCCATTTCTGTCTGCTTTGGCATTGCATGGACTGTGATGTGGGGGGGGTGGGATATGGTTGGGCATTGTTGTGTCCTTTGTCTGGCAACGTTGACAGTGTTTTTGTTGTCGAGTACTTATGCCAAAGGATGTGTCAATTTGTCCGCTGCTGACAGAGTGTGCTTATGGAAATAAAGAGATTTTTAGGAAACCTTTTTTGGGTGCATTTTCCGTTCTGTCTGTTTTTTTGCGCAGTTAAAAAGCATAGAAAAATATGTGGAACTACCATTTATATTTCTTTTTTATTTGCAATAAAAAGGAATTTCTGAATTATATATTTAAGTCTCTCCATCCCCCCGCTTGCTATGCACCATTTCCAAATTGATTTTCGAATCTCATTTCTCTCAAAACTTCAATGCATTTCAAGTAAAGTTTCGCACAAGTGTCAGTGGGAAAACAAATGATTTTAGGCGAACTAAAAGTAGGGGAAAAACTAAACCCCGAAGCTCCCATAATGCCAGCAAAGGTCAACACTTGATAAATAGTTGAGCTGCTGCGAAAATGCTGGACGATTCATAAGCGAGAACGCAAAGCGGAAAAGGAAGCGGAAACGGAAACGCAAAACGAAAGCAATAATAATCTTAGCAATCAGCTGTCAGTGCGTAATGGAAACTTCGTTTTCCGTTTCGCCTTTTCCACACTGCACTGCTGCCAAGTGGGGAAAATGCAGTCGAGGAAGACAAATGATTAGCGCCAGTACTCACGTGCAGAGTGCAGTGTGCAGACGGGGCAGAGTGCAGTGGAAGCATCCAACAGCGCAACTGGAACTGGAACTGGGTTAAGCATCTGCGTTATGTTCGAGAAGGAAGCGCGCGTGATCTTTGGCATATATATCTATATATAGCCAGAGCCAGAGTTAGAGCTATGGGTACACAGGTACAGCTACGTACAAGTGGGCCTTAGGGCCTGTCAGCCGGTGAAGGTAAAAACAGGAAACAACGTTTGACCATTTTTCAAATTTCAGCACACCTCTCTCTGCCACACCCCACTTTCCACCGCTGCTGACTTGCTACATGCAGCATGCAGAGTCTAGAGTTCGCTGGATTTCGGGATACCAATTTCAATATGCTTGGCACGTTCGCCTGCATGGCAGCGGCAGCAGCAGCAGCAGCAACAGCAGTTTCTGTTTACGGCCATCTCCGTACATCTCCGTTCAAGCAAGCATCATGCATTACCTTATGCCCAGCCACGCCCATGCCGCCCATGCCAGGCCAACCCAGGTCGTAAAGTGCCAGTGCCTGGGTATTTACTCAGGGCCCAGAAGTTGAGTAATGACGACCATGATGCAGCAGCATCAAACGAAGGACGCAATATGCTCGAGGTTGCCGCTTATGCAAATATGAACAACACATGGGAGAGAGCGAGAGATGCTCTCAGGTGGCATGTGGATAGCAACTCTCAAAGCCCCACTAGAGCTTAGATATACAGCAGATTAGGAGGTCAATTTCTAGAGAGGATCACGGCGAGAATTAAGGCAGCCATTACTAATGGTTAACCAGGCAAATGGAGCATCTTTCATCAATCTAAAACCCATGTTCCCTATTAAATTTAAATATGCTTTTAAATTTAAATATAAATTCTGATTATTAATTCTATAAGTTGCCACCTGGCCCGCAGTTACGCTTTGGGGATCTCCTTGGCAATCCAATTAGATTAATGCCAGCAAAATACAAACAATTATGAGTCTCATGATTGTTTTTCAATGGCCGCCGACACGCGTCCTGCCCCATTCGCATCTCTGCTCCCTGTGTTCCCTTTGCTGTTCCCCGTCTCGACCATAAATCAGCAATGTTGTGTGTCCAAATATGAATTTAATTAAAGGTCTCTTTATGACAACAAACGTCGGCTGGGTCGTCTGGATCGCCTGGGTCGTGTGCTGGCTGGCGACCACTTTAAAATATTACCAATATTGTCAGCTCTCTGGTATAACCTCCGCCTCGGCAGCACTCCCTGCCCAGGGTTTTCCCATGCATTAGGCTTATTAGAAGGACACGCGGCCGGGGTTTGGTTAAGGGGCCAGGCAATGTGCAACGCATGCAACTTTCGGTCGTCAAGGTTGGCTGTCAGTCTCTTGGCTGTTGGGATGAGTGTCCCTGTCTGAGTGTCTTTCCCACCCACCCGACAACCGACTCCATTCTCACTTTGTTTGCCGCAAACAGTTCACGCATCAGGGGACGGGACGTGCAACGCGTCCTGCTCGGTGGTTGATGCCTGGCTGATGCCCGGGGGGGGGACCAGAATTGATTGCCCGATCGCCGCAGCGAAAGCATCTTGCTGGAATCTGCTGCCGGAAGACCAGACAGGTCTGTGCTTCTTTTTGATGATGTATTTCTCAGGGCCATCATGCCATTGCCGTTACAGTTGATGCATGCAAATCCTGATTATGCACGGGACACGCGTCACTAAACATCACCGTCACCCCTCCTCATCATCTCCATCCATCTATCTCTTTCGGTGCGTCACGTGCCTCTGCTCTGCTCTGCTCAGCGACAATATGGCAACAAACGGTCTATTGTCAGGGTTACCAATATGCGTGGTGGATTCTCCTTTTTAGGAATTTATTGTGCGAGTTTATTCAGAATTTCCCCCAGGAATTTATTGCGGGAGAATGGTAACTTTATGGCATTTTAACAAAAGATAAAGGCTTAGTGTCCACTGGCGGCATCGGGGACAACAATAACAACCTCTTGAAAAGATACAATCAAGCGCAAGAATCGCTCATAAATGGAGTATAGAATAAACATTCAAGTTCCTGGATCATATGATTGATTATGGGGTAATTGTGGGCAGTTCTTCTTTGCTCTTATCGAGAGTTAATCTTTGATTTGCACAGACATTTCTGCTCAGTTTTTTACCCATCAAAACTGTTGCTTGACAACTCTGGACAAGCGGCTGTCTGGCGCTTTGTTTATGCAAACCTTGGCAGCAAAACGCTCACCAATTATAAATCAAAAGTGACTTTTAATTAAAAGTTCAAACCTCTCTGTGCCCAAGATGCTGACGCCAAATGTCGTTCGTTCGTTCGTTGGCTTAATTTTGTTTTGCCATCGTACCCTCATAAATCACAAAAAAAAATAGAAAGGAAAAAGAGCAGGAGTACCCATGGACGAGGGGGCAGAAGTCAAGAAACCAGGGAACCGTGGCACGAGGGTTGAATCCCAGACTGCCAGTACATTAATTGAAGGTGCAAATGCGACGCACTCGCACCCCTGGCAGACAACGGAAAACAATAAACGATGAGGATGAGGATGAGGCTGTGGACGAGTATGCCGGAGGGGGGATGCTGTCCTAAGACAAATGCAAAATACGCAACAGTTTCATTCTAGTTTGAGTTTTTCATGTTCGTCCTGGGACCTGGAAGCGAATTCTCGATTGCAGTAAACGAAACATAAAACCCACTTGCCCACATTTTCTACCCTCAGGGGTTGGTTTTCCCTTTGCCATCTCCAGTGGCTGTCCCTGTCCCTGCCCCTGCCCTCTCGCCCATTGTTGTCGCGGCAGTCCTTCGACTTTTTGGTTTCGGGGTGGTGGTGCTGGCGGTGTCAAGTTCTTTTTGCGCCGTCAAGTTGAATTATCATAAGTAATAATCATAACCCAAGTATCCGGCAGAAGCCCACGGGCAGGGCCAGAGCAGTGGCAGGGTGGGATGGTAAGGTGCACTATCCAAGGGGTGGGGGGATATATCCTGTTTGTTGCAGATGATGGGTGGCATGAGTAGGGGAGATTTTAAAAAGTTGCTCCGTTAATTGCGCGACACTTGGGTCTTTATGGGGATCTCCAGCCAATCTGGGGTTGGCGCTGATTCTCGCTGGGCTTAGCAGAGGCTTCGCCCCGATACTCGCTGATTAGCTGTGGCCAGCAACATGGCTTGGGGGGGAGGAACTCTATGACGCTGTTACACGCTGCCTGTGACACATCCCAGTGATCTCTGGCGAAACATAACACTCAGGGGGAGTGTTCAAACCCCCTATGACCCTATGGCAAGTGCCGGTACTCAAACCACGCCCACATGCCCTGGCAAACAACATGGGAACATAGTTTGGGAAGGCGGGCACGGGCACGGGCACTCCACAGATAGTGAGAGTTGTCAAAGCCAAGCAGCCAAGCAGCCACAGCCATTGAATGTCAGTCACAAAAATGCAATCACAGTTTGACACAATTTTACCGAGGCGCCACTTCAACACGTTGCAGCGCTGCAATATCTTTACAGTTACAAAAGCCAGCCACACAAACACACACACACACACACAGGCAGTGGCAGAGGCAGAGGAAGTGCCAGTGGCAGTGGCAGGGGCAGACAGGCGGAGACCAACGCACGAACGACAACTCTGCAAACAACACAATGACAACTCTTTAACACAGTTAAGTTGGCAGAGCTGCAGCGACAATCGATGTCGATGTACAGTTATCCATTTGCCCATACATACCCTTTAAATCGAAATGGGATAAAGCTTGGGGAGTATACGACCTGGGGAAATTATGAAGGTGAGAAAAATCGGAGGCAGGCTGGACAGTGGAAAAGAGCATACAGAAATTATTATACAGAAAGTATAAAGCATTAAGGTAAGCTGAACCATAATTGACTCTAATTTTTAATACGATATTCAAGTGATTTATACCAGAATTTCTTCTCTTTTTAGCACAACTTTGGCTGGCGTATGAGCTCTTCCCTGCGTGTCCAATTGGGTAATAACTTTAACCTAAAACTTCTCTCAATAGGTACTCCATTATTCGTCGCTGCAATGATGCTTTTGGTTCTTTGGGTCGCCTTAGCGCGTGCTCGAGTGCATTTACTCACACATTTACTCCTCTCACTCACACACACACATGCTCGCACTTGCACAAATACAAACAGATGCCATGCCATGCCATTGCCATTTTTTTGTTTTTTTTTGTTGTTGTTGTTGATGTTTGATTGCGTTTTTATCTTCGTCATTTCAGCAGTGTGCCTCTGCACCGTCCCTGACTTATGGCATGCCCCTCCTGTGGACGCCTGGCCAGGTCCTGGTCGCACTCCAAATGCAACTTGCAACTGCAACCGTGGTAGCAGTGCCTCGGCGATATTTTACTGCGACAACATTTCATTGCAAACATTGTGCAATTTCACTTTAAACGTCAATCGATTTTCATGTGATTTTTACCAGCATTTCTCCTCATCGTAGCACCAAACAACCTATGACTTTTCTTTAGTGTCCGCAGAATTTTCTTTCTTTTCTTTTTTTGTTTGGCACACAAAATTGCTTTGGTTTGAGTGGAAAAGTTTGTTAGGTGAAGACTTCTCGTAGTTGTGTTCATTGGAGAATGTTCAAAGTGGAATCGAATAAAGATAAGCATATAAATATTTCGAGACTATTTTCACTTCTTAGAAACAAACATTTATTACAGATATGTACTTCCAATCAGAATACATATAAGTACATGCAGGAGTAAATTAATAAAAGGCAGTAAATAATTTTAACAACGTCTGCAGGCTATCTAAAGTTTATTTTGAGTAATCAAGAAATGCAATCATAAGGGTAGCTAGTACCAACAATTAGCTGCTTATCAGTTTCTTTTTTTTTTTTAAAGTAATTCTTCGGTGCTACTAAACCACATAACGCTCTTTATTCTGGCTGTTGAGAACCTTCGATCGTTGATAACTTTTTAGATCAGTTAGCCTCAGTAACGCCTTCCTCACAGCACATCATAAAAAGATTACAATAAAAGAGATCCCCCCAATTAATCATTCAACAGATAGCTAAGTGATAGCAGTACTTTTTTATACATTCCTAGAACACTAAAATATACACGTCAGCATGCATGGAAATGTTTATTTATGTATTATATACGTACATATAGTATGTATGTATGTATGTATGTACGAGTACAATAGTACCTACTCGTATAGTATTTCATCATTCATGCTGATAAGCATATGATGGGATTATTGAAACTTGTGTGTGATTGAGAGAGGGCGTTCAGTTCAGTTGTCTGGAAATTGTCGGAGTGAGCGGATCGAAATGGAAACGCATACATTTGTTGTGACACTTTTGATCGCGCTCTGCTGCTGCGGCATGCCACAGAGCAAGGCAGCGATTCGGATACCCCAGATACCGGACATGCCAAAGCAGCTGGACTGTCGGGCCGACAACATCGGCTTCACCTTCAATCTGACAGCGGTAAGCAATCAGAGAACTCTGATCAAGAACTCTGTTCCAATTTCTATGGTCTCTCCCTCAGCTCGCTGGCTACTGGTACGAGGCTGCCCGAGTGCCCAATGTGGATGTGCTGGAGTGTCTGAATGTGTCAGTGCCCAGTGCCATCGAAGAGGATCGATTTGCGCTGGATTTGAAATACGTGAGCACCGTGAACGGCGGCTGGCACTACACCGAAGAACAGGTCGACTTTCCCTGGGACAATACCACCGAACACGGCATTTTCAAGCTACAGTACGGAATGATTATTGTCACCTACAAACTGATGGTCACCGACTACAAATCGTACGCGTTCGTCTGCGGCTACGGTAACATATCCCCGGTACCCCTCTTCAAGCTCTTCACACGCAAACGAGAACTTAACCAGACTACAATAGCTGTAATTCAGGCGGTAGCCAATCGCCAGGGGATCGGCTCCCAGATTGCCTGGGAGCAGCAATCGCTGGCCAAGTGCAGCGCCTCCAGTATGCAAACCTCTTTGGGGTTCGTAATTGGATTCGTTTTCCTATTGTGCGCCTACTTCAAATAGCATTTGAGACACACACACTTGACGGTCGAGTGTTGAAATTTATAGTTAAATTATGTCATACAAAAATCTAGGCAAATGTTACGTGAAATTCTATGCAGCGTTTTATCATGGATATCTTTATTATGATTTGCGGGCGTTGAACTGATTTTTATATGAATCACAAAGAAATTGGACCAAAGAACGTATATTATGTACACACATATGTAGATAGACATCTGTTTAATTTTAGGCATTTATTTAAGTTCAAATTACGAGTAGTTGTGATATGAAATTATAAAAAAAGAAAAAAAACCAAAAATGTTCCTTCCTTAAAGTTTCCTTTATTCCTTTGCTGTTCTTCTTCTTTCACTTGCACTTCATTCTGTGTTAGTTTTGTTCAGTCTTCTTTTCTTTGTCTTTCCTTCTCTTAGTTGTGTTTTTTTTCACTCTGCTCTGTCGGCTGATAAGCGATTTGTATTCAGATTAAATCAAGCATACGAATATTGAGAGGCATGGAGCGAGAGTAGCTGAAGGGAATAAATATCCCCACCCCAGCGAGCGCATGCTGCTGCAATTACGTTGCCTAAAATGCCGAAAGGAAATGCTCCAAAATATTACCAGCGGAATGAGGATGAGGAATTTTTTCGGTCCATTTTCTTGGCAATTTTCATTTTCATAAACTCGCTGCAGCCGAAAAGGGGGCTGGGCAGGGTGTGGGTGGTTGGCGAAATAAAGCGAATGGAAAATGCTTTAAGTAGAGCTCGAAGCGTTTTTAGCTTCAGCTTCATTGGACCTCCACTCCGGATACGGGCACGGACCCGGCCCTGGTCCCGTTTTGCTGGCCAGTTGTCGACTCAATGAAGTGCAAAAGAGTGGACGATGTAGCCGGGTGGGATACAGAGGAAGTGGCAGTGGTCGACTGGTAGCGATAGCCAGGGCACTTTCATTGATTTGATGCGTTTGGTTTGCGTGCCGCTTGCGGTTGTTGCATGCTTGACTTGAGCGCCACCGAAACCGACCACCGAAGGGACCAGAGACCCACCAGTGGCATTGGGAGTGGTTTAAGGAGCTCCAAAGCTGTTTACTCGAAGCAAACCAAGTGAAATTGAAAGCCTTTTTGCCGATAATTGTGTCCGGCTGTTGCTCCGCCTGCTGCCGGACCTGCCTGTGCCACCGATCCTGCTCTACGCTTTTGCGGGTAATGGGAGCACAACTACGGGGTGGTATGTGTGCACAAGATGATTACTTGGCTGAGTCCACTGCCCCAAAATCGACGTAATCATGCGATGACTGTGCAAAAGTCTCTCCAAACATTCCAGACGACCAGCCACGCCCTAGAAAATGAAAGAAATACTAGTCGTAGTAGAAAGCAAATCGAAAAACTGAAATCGAAAGTTAATGTGGCACATCAGGCTATGCCGAAGGGTTAGAGCCAACAAGTGAACCCTGCCGCCAGTCCGTACGTGTTCCAATTAATTTTGACATTTTCTCTGAATAGATGTGCAACAAGGTTTCGATTTCGGTTTCGATTGAGTTACACCCTGCAGCCTGAACAGGGTTCATAAATAAAGACCCACTGCAGAGCTGTAGAGCCTCCCGTTTGTGGGTTAGATGAAGGAAATCTCTGACTGGTAAAACGGAATCTTAAAGACTATAGAATATAACGTTAGCTAGTGCCTGAGTTCTGTCCTACAGGCATCCCCTTTCAGCCTTAAAGTTACAAATATTTGAGCTGCACACACAACTTGCTCCACTCATTATGATTAACCCATGCACAGCACCAGAATTTATGCCCTTTACATGGACTGCTCAAGAATGCAACTATTCAAAATGCATGGAGCCGAAAAATCTGGCAAACTTTTAGCCAGACTGCAGTCGAGCACAATCGAAAGGCGAGGAACTCCCAGAGAAAAACTAGCTGGCGGAAAAAAAAACTACAAAAAAAACTAGTGAGTAGCTTCTGGGGACGCGACTCTACTTTTATACCCGTACTCAGTCAGCAATGAATTTTGAATTTAATCGTTTTCTGCCATTTGATTCTGAGATACCAGGCGAACAAGTCAACAGAAGGTCGCTGGTTTTTTTTAATTTCCCGTTTTTTCTTGTTTTCTCTTTGTATTTCGTTGCTCTCTTTTTTCGCTATAATTTCTCTCATTTTCTGCCTCCACTTTCCACCGCTCAAATGGCAGAAAACCGTTAAATTCAAATCTGAGATGCCAGGCGAACAGAAATCAGCAGAAGGTCGCTGGTTTTTTTAATTTCTCGTTTTTTCTTGTTTCTCCTTGTATTTCGTTGCTCTCTTTTTTCGCTCTAATTTCTCTCATTTTCTGCCTCCACTTTCCACCGCTCAAATGGCAGAAAACCGTTAAATTCAAATCTGAGATACCAGGCGAACAGAAATCAGCAGAAGGTCGCTGGTTTTTTTAATTTCTCGTTTTTTCTTGTTTCTCTTTGTATTTCGTTGCTCTCTTTTTTCGCTCTAATTTCTCTCATTTTCTGCCTCCACTTTCCACCACTCAAATGGCAGAAAACCGTTAAATTCAAATCTGAGATACCAGGCGAACAGAAATCAGCAGAAGGTCGCTGGTTTTTTTAATTTCTCATTTTTCTTGTTTCTCTTTGTATTTCGTTGCTCTCTTTTTTCGCTCTAATTTCTCCCATTTTCTGCCTCCACTTTCCACCGCTCAAATGGCAGAAAACCGTTAAATTCAAATCTGAGATACCAGGCGAACAGAAATCAGCAGAAGGTCGCTGGTTTTTTTAATTTCTCGTTTTTTCTTGTTTCTCTTTGTCTTTCGTTGCTCTCTTTTTTCGCTCTAATTTCTCTCATTTTCTGCCTCCACTTTCCACCGCTCAAATGGCAGAAAACCGTTAAATTCAAATCTGAGATACCAGGCGAACAGAAATCAGCAGAAGGTCGCTGGTTTTTTTAATTTCTCGTTTTTTCTTGTTTCTCTTTGTATTTCTTTGCTCTCTTTTTTCGCTCTAATTTCTCTCATTTTCTGCCTCCACTTTCCACCGCTGAAATGGCAGAAAACCGTTAAATTCAAATCTGAGATACCAGGCGAACAGAAATCAGCAGAAGGTCGGTGGTTTTTTTAATTTCTCGTTTTTTCTTGTTTCTCTTTGTATTTCGTTGCTCTCTTTTAGCGCTCTAATTTCTCTCATTTTTTTGCCTCCACTTTCCACCGCTCAAATGGCAGAAAACCGTTCAATTCAAATCTGAGATACCAGGCGAACAGAAATCAGCAGAAGGTCGCTGGTTTTTTTAATTTCTCGTTTTTTCTTATTTCTCTTTGTATTTCGTTGCTCTCTTTTATCGCTCTAATTTCTCTCATTTTCTGCCTCCACTTTCCACCGCTCAAATGGCAGAAAACCGTTAAGTTCAAATTTGAGATACCAGGCGAACAGAAATCAGCAGAAGGTCGCTGGTTTTTTTAATTTCTCGTTTTTTCTTATTTCTCTTTGTATTTCGTTGCTCTCTTTTATCGCTCTAATTTCTCTCATTTTCTGCCTCCACTTTCCACCGCTCAAATGGCAGAAAACCGTTAAGTTCAAATTTGAGATACCAGGCGAACAGAAATCAGCAGAAGGTCGCTGGTTTTTTTAATTTCTCGTTTTTTCTTATTTCTCTTTGTATTTCGTTGCTCTCTTTTAGCGCTCTAATTTCTCTCATTTTCTGCCTCCACTTTCCACCACTGAAATGACAGAAAACCGTTAAGTTCAAATTTGAGATACCAGGCAAACAGAAATCAGCAGAAGGTCGCTGGTTTTTTTAATTTCTCGTTTTTTCTTGTTTCTCTTTGTATTTCGTTGCTCTCTTTTTTCGCTCTAATTTCTCTCATTTTCTGCCTCCACTTTCCACCGCTCAAATGGCAGAAAACCGTTAAATTCAAATCTGAGATACCAGGCGAACAGAAATCAGCAGAAGGTCGCTGGTTTTTTTAATTTCTCGTTTTTTCTTATTTCTCTTTGTATTTCGTTGCTCTCTTTTATCGCTCTAATTTCTCTCATTTTCTGCCTCCACTTTCCACCGCTCAAATGGCAGAAAACCGTTAAGTTCAAATTTGAGATACCAGGCGAACAGAAATCAGCAGAAGGTCGCTGGTTTTTTTAATTTCTCGTTTTTTCTTGTTTCTCTTTGTATTGCATTGCTCTCTTTTTTCGCTCTAATTTCTCTCATTTTCTGCCACCACTTTCCACCGCTCAAATGGCAGAAAACCGTTAAATTCAAATCTGAGATACCAGGCGAACAGAAATCAGCAGAAGGTCGCTGGTTTTTTTAATTTCTCGTTTTTTCTTGTTTCTCTTTGTATTTCGTTGCTCTCTTTTTTCGCTCTAATTTCTCTCATTTTCTGCCTCCACTTTCAAATTCAAATCTTAGATACCAGGCGAACAGAAATCAGCAGAAGATCGCTGGTTTTTTTAATTTCTCGTTTTTTCTTGTTTCTCTTTGTATTTCGTTGCTCTCTTTTTTCGCTCTAATTTCTCTCATTTTCTGCCTCCACTTTCCACCGCTAAAATGGCAGAAAACCGTTAAATTCAAATCTGAGATACCAGGCGAACAGAAATCAGCAGAAGGTCGCTGGTTTTTTTAATTTCTCTTTTTTTCTTGTTTCTCTTTGTATTTCGTTGCTCTCTTTTAGCGCTCTAATTTCTCTCATTTTTTTGCCTCCACTTTCCACCGCTCAAATGGCAGAAAACCGTTCAATTCAAATCTGAGATACCAGGCGAACAGAAATCAGCAGAAGGTCGCTGGTTTTTTTAATTTCTCGTTTTTTCTTGTTTCTCTTTGTATTTCGTTGCTCTCTTTTAGCGCTCTAATTTCTCTCATTTTTTTGCCTCCACTTTCCACCGCTCAAATTCAAATTCAAATTCAAATCTTAGATACCAGGCGAACAGAAATCAGCAGAAGGTCGCTGGTTTTTTTAATTTCTCGTTTTTTCTTGTTTCTCTTTGTATTTCGTTGCTCTCTTTTTTCGCTCTAATTTCTCTCATTTTCTGCCTCCACTTTCCACCGCTAAAATGGCAGAAAACCGGTAAATTCAAATCTGAGATACCAGGCGAACAGAAATCAGCAGAAGGTCGCTGGTTTTTTTAATTTCTCGTTTTTTCTTGTTTCTCTTTGTATTTCGTTGCTCTCTTTTTTTGCTCTAATTTCTCTCATTTTCTGCCTCCACTTTCCACCGCTCAAATGGCAGAAAACCGTTAAATTCAAATCTGAGATACCAGGCGAACAGAAATCAGCAGAAGGTCGCTGGTTTTTTTAATTTCTCTTTTTTTCTTGTTTCTCTTTGTATTTCGTTGCTCTCTTTTTTCGCTC